TAAATTTCACTTAGTAGGTTTGCTGTTAGTAATGGTTGTAGTCATAATTTCAGAACTATTTTGTGTGTATGAGAGAAGTACAAAGATGGAAGGAGAAAGAGGAAGAATACCCAGGATGCTGGATTTTAATTGGTGGTATCAGTGTGAGCTCACGATTTTAAAAAGGCCTAGAGAGCAGTGACTCCCTAGGAGCAATAAGCAAACACAGTGCCTGGATCAGGGCTTCTAAATACCGTTCCTCAGTAAAAGAAACCAGAGCTCCTTAGAGAATGGTTAGTTCCAGGTCTAGAGTGCAAAAGTGTAAGGTGAGCCTGGAATATCTTGCTGCGCCCCAAAGCAAAAAAGTGTTTCCCAAATCACAGCAACACAGGACACAGGATCCAGCTTGAAGACGATCCCAGTAGCCAAGGCTGATACAACTTGAGCATCAAAGAAGATGTGGCACATATATACAGTGGAATATTAGCCATAAAAAGAAACGAAATTGAGATATTTGTGGTGAGCTGGATGGACCTAGCGTCTGTCATACAGAGTGAAGTAAGTCAGAAAGAGAAAAACAAATACTGTATGCTAACACATATATATGGAATCTAAGAAAAAAAAAAAAGGTCATGAAGAACCTAGGGGTAAAACGGGAATAAATACACAGACCTACTAGAGAATGGACTTGAGGATATGGGGAGGGGGACAAAGTGAGCTGTGACAAAGTGAGAGAGAGGCATGGACATATATACGCTACCAAACGTTAAATAGCTAGCTAGTGGGAAGCAGCCGCATAGCACAGGGAGATCAGCTCGGTGCTTTGTGTTCACCTAGAGGGGTGGGACAGGGAGGGTGGGAGGGAGGGAGATGCAAGAGGGAAGAGATATGGGGACATATGTATATGTATAACTGATTCACTTTGTTATAAAGCAGAAACTAACACACCATTGTAAAGCAATTATACTCCAATAAAGGTGTTAAAAAAAAAAAAGGAGAATTCTGGTTATAGACTATAACATATCCGAATGTTTTTTTAAAAAGAAAAAGGAAGAGGCTTGGGCTAGACCTTTGAGAATGAATTCAATTTAAATAGACGGAGAAGAAAGGTGGTTCAGTGAGTGTGAACAAAAGAAGGAAGTGATGAAGAAGAGGGAATAATTCAGGAGCTCGGAGTGGGGGGGGGGGCACGTGGTCCAGCTAGGTTGTCAGGGACACATAGGGATCAGTAGGTGTAAGATTTGGTAGTCTAGACCATCGCTGCCAATATGAAGATTAGACTTGGAGTGCGGTGGCAATGGGGAGCCGCTGTAAGTTTCTGAGCAGAGGAGTTATATGAGGAAATGACGGAATAGGTGTTTTGGGGAGATGACCGGCAGCTAGATGGAGGCAGGGAACAGAGGGATGGCAAGCAAGGAGGTCAGCGAGGAAGTCTTTGCAGAGGTGCTGGGGGCCTGCAAAGAGCCTGGAAATGGATAAGGATAAAAATGGCTGAAATTTAAAAAAGCATTTCAGAGGATGAATAGACAGAATTTATTCCTCTGATAAGGGACAAGGGAAGAGTCAGTGGCTCCGAGTTTCCGTGCTGAAGGGTAGAAGGACGAGGATGGAGCTGAGCTAAATAGGAAGAGCAGAGAATTGAGTTTTGATATAGTTTGGACTGGTTTTGAATATAGTGACTGTGAATCAGTCGCATTTTGATGTTTACAAACCTCAAACAGGTGGAGTGTCCCACGTTGCGGGTGGTATTGCTGGGCTTTCTCAGTCACCTTGACCTCTTACAGAGCTCAGGTGAAAGCAGGGCTCTGGTGTTTTCCTGAAGCTGCTGCCAGTGATAGGATTTTGTTCTGCTTCACAGACAATGCTCAGAACCATGTCCCTGTGGAATCCCAGTGGGCTACTCTGAGTGAGTATAACACCACCTCCTGGTTGGGCCAGAAAAGAATTTTCAAGGCGTAACTCGAGGCGGGAGGCTCCCACGTATGAAATTGCTCTCTCATCCCTGCAGTGAAGCTTGAACGAGGGGACTCTGTGCTTTGTGGCTGTCTGGCTTCATCAGAGGTTGGCTGCCGTCTTCACCCATCCGCCCGGCGCTCTTGCTTGGCTAGAGGAAGCCTGTCCTGAGTTCTCATAGTGAACAGGCTTCCCAGGCAGCCTTCCTCCCCTGCACTCTTCGCATTCACATGGCATGGCCATAAATTATGCCCAGCGTGTTCATTTTCAGTTTAAGTGTGTTCTCATCCCAGAGGAGCAACTAATGGCGTCAGGTTACCGATGTGAAAAAAGCCTGCCGCTGCAGTGACTATGGATTAATGAAATAGCAGTCATGGAGGCTGGGGCAGCAATAAATTGTCAGCCACCGGTGACATGGATTTTAAATTATATTCTCCATCTCCTTTCCCCCTCTCCAAAATTGTTTAGCTGTAGAGTTGTTTGTTAAATGTTTACCATTGCTTAAATGTTTGCTTTCTATTAGAAGTTGGTGCAGGCTGGGCCCCTTCCTTTGAAGGGGCTTTTCTCAGAAAACTGGAGGTGGGCTGAGAGGGATTTAAAAGCCTATCGTGCTTTCTCTAGGAGGCGTGAAGGCAAATCTCTTAATCCAGGATCATCACTGACTGATAACTTTCATTCAGAAAATTGGCAAACATGGGGCTCTGTCGGTGAACTCTGCTCATTTGGCATGTAAGTTACTACCTCTACCTTCTGTTATGGCCTTTTTCTTTTCCTAATGAGTTAAAAATTAGGAACCAAGACAATTCACAGTGTTTTTGAAAGGCAGCAAGTCTATTTTTCATTAGATGAAGGACCCCAGGGAATCCATTGATGGGCCGTAGAGAGTTCAAGAACCCCTGATTCCTACAAGCAAATGTGAACAAGTAACTTGCTCATATGTATATGTTTCTCTAGAACGAAGGTCTGTGGGTTTCATCAAATTCATTAAATGTTCCGTAACACCAAGATAGCTTAAGGGCTGCATAAATGTCTACAACGTCTTTCTCTCCCAAGATCTATGTCCTTGTAATAGACTTTGTGGCTCCTCTGACTGAGAGAAGTCTATCCACCCTTGATTCTGGGCTGGCACTGTGATTGGCTTTGGCCCACGGGAGATTAGTAAATGTGATCCAAGCAGATTGGAAAAGTGCTTGCACTTTGGGGCTTTGCCTACTTACTGTTCCTGGAAGCCTGCTGCAATGTCAACAAGGCTGGGCTGGCCCAATGAGCTACATGGCCCCAGTCACCCTTGTTTCCCCAGCTGACCCACCAGCAACTGTAGACAGTGGGTGTGCCCAGCTGAGACCAGCCAAGCCAACCAAGGTCTGTGGATCTCATTAAAATCACCAAATGCTCCATAATGCCGACAGAGTGCAAGGCTGCTCTGGTGGACTCTGCATACACGGCCACAACTTCTTCCTCTCCACACACCCATGCTCGTGCAGTGGGACTCTGCAAGGGCAGGGGCATGTGGAGCCTGGGCCAAACCAGAAGCAATTGTCCAGCCTAATTGCTGACATACAGAATCGTGAACAAAGTAAGTGTTATTTGGGGATAGTTTATCATGCAGTAAAAGCTAACTGATACAAATACCATATCATCATACAGTGTGCATTTTGAGGATGAGGGGCACACCTTATTCAGTCTTTATATCTCTTTTTTCCTAAAAACACAATAACCATTCAATATGTATTTGTTGAACTGGTCTCTCAAAAAGACTGAGATTCAGCCACTTTCTCAAGGTCACAATAAATCAGGAGAGATCCCAGAGCACCGAACTCCAGGCCTCAGTTTCCTTACTTATAAAATGGGCTTCAAAACACCTACCTCGTTGGGCTACTGTGGCTGTTAGAGATACTGTGTGCTTTAGAGGTGCCTGATACTTGACGGACAGTAGCCCGAGCCAAGCACGCTGATGAAATGGCTGCAGAACTCATCAGCATGCGGGAGATCAGGCACGTTTCAGTGATCACAGTGACCACCAGGTGTTCACGTGGATTCCAGTTTCTAGGCGTCAGCTTTCTCTGCTGCAAAATGAGGTTGGTTCCTTCTGGCTCGACCAGACGTCCATGTGTCATTCTGACGTGGCTGCTGCCGCAGTGCAGCCACGTGGCCGGAGGACGTGCCACTCCTTCTGGGGTGGTGGGGGTAGCTCCTGAGTTGCTGCTCTGGATTCTGCCATCACTCCCTGTATCTCATTTTCTTGCTTGTAAAATAAGGTGTGGGTGACAGGAAGCTCTCTGAGAATCCTGTCAGCTGCAGGAATCCAAGGGCTCCAATTATACTACTGGAGTCTTCTCTAAGCCTGAGGGACTAAACTGCTCACAGGATCACGGAGCCATGAAAGAAGTTATTATTTGCTAGAGGAAAAGAAAAGGTTTCTGTATTTGTCTAAAGCAGAAAGTGGAAAAGCAGGCCATAGAATTGGGGAATAATAGTAAGAAAAAAGAAAAGAAAGCAAACCTGATTTGAGCTGGGATGTTAGAACCCTGCTTCCTGCAGGATAATGGCGCCCCATGCTATGTAGATCACAGGGTCGAACCTTAGACATAGAGATTTATAGAAGAAACTTCCCCTCCAAAAAGCATGGCGTACACAAAGCGTTATAAAATGCTCAGAATGAGTTATACAAAGAGCCATGAGACAGACATATGAAAAAAACGGTTTGTTTTTTTTTTCCATTAAGACCTCCTGTCCTTTTCTAATAAAACCTAACTTGACGTCTTTCTAGGATTTAGAGTAAAACTTCTTGTGTTGCAGATGTATTTGGAAGGGAATAATGGACATACATGTCGCTTACCACAAGCAGTGAAGACATCTGAAAATCTTGCTTCTTGCCAAAATGGACATTAAGTTTTTGCTTGGAAGCAAATATGAAAACATTGATTTTTATCCAACTATCCCTCCGTTTATCTAAGGAGAAAAAGTTACAACTTACTTATTCTGTTATGCTTTTAATAGGATTTTCTGTCTTTAATGCTGAGATCTTAAACATTACCAATGAGCAAGCAAAGAAAACAATTAGCAGATGGCATTTTCAACCAAATTTTTTATATTTATTATAATCGTGCTTCTCTACAACTAAAGATTCATGTGGTGTGCAAACCATATGTCTGACTTTATTTACCAAAGTAAATACAGAACAGCATTTCCAATAGGGGAGGTTCACACAACAAACAAAATATAGAGTGTGTGACCTCAATAAGGCATTCAATAAAGGTATAAGCTGTCTCTCCCTCTGTGGGGGGTTCCCTTAGGGTGCTCTGATGTTGGCATCACATTCTTCTAAGAGCAGAATCAAATCTTCAATCAGGCTGTGCTCCCTGCCATGTGTCACTCTCATAATATCAAAAGCCTAAAGGGAAGAGAAAGAAGACGGATTAGAACCCCAAATTAGGCAGGTTCCTGCCTGCTCCTCGTCTTTTCCCATGACACCAGGAGCCCGAAGAAGCCCAGAGTCTGCAGTGTGAGCAGCACGGTGGTTCTCCACACTAGCAATGAAGTGACAAGGGTGATTCTGGAATGTGGCGCTTGGAAAGCAGACTTACTACTTGAGTCATGCTGGGCCTGGTGTCCAACAACAATCTTCAGGGATTATTAGAGCTTAGGTTTGGTGTGGGTAAAGAGGTTTGAGAAGAGTTACTAAAATGATTAAGTAATAGTAAAGATGAACTACTATGCTGCTATCGCCTTAAAATATAATTTTCATTTTTGCATGCTGCATTTAATTCTCATCTCTCTGCACTGTGATACATATAATGTAGACATACAATTTCTGTATTCCTTTCATGTCCTATGACATTGGAACACTGGCATTTTGACAGTCCCTGCCTTCACTCCCCATGTTCAATCTTCACTAAATCTTGCCAATTCTGCCTCCGAAATAGTTCTGAAATCTGGATGGGTTTGTGACCACTTCAGTAATAGAGCTACTGGAATTAATGCTACTGACTTCCAAAGCTAGGTCAGAAAGGCCACGCAACCTTTGCCTTGTTCACTAGTATGTCTGCTCCTGGAACCATGAGCTTCCGTGCTGTGAGGAGGCCCAAGCCACATGGGGAAGCCAAGTGGAGATGCTCTGGTTGAGAGTCCTAGCTGAGTCCATCTTTAAAGTCATCCTAGCCTAGACACCAGAAATGTGCATAAAGAAGTCTCCAGATGATTTCAGCCATCAGCCAGAAGAGAGCCAGATTCCAGTCTTCCCAGCTGACACTGTGGAAAAGAGGCATTATGGAAAAGAGGCAAAGCCATTCCTCTTGTGATCCGTTTGAATTCCTGACTCAAATCATCGGTGAGCATAATAAAAGGGTGGTTATTTTACGCTGCTAAGTTTTGGGATGGTTTGTTATCGAGCAATAAATAGCCAGAATATCCTCAAAAATAGTTTTGCAATAAATTAGAGATAAACAGTACCATCCTGCACTGCCCAAACTGGGGGCTCCCCAACGTGGGGGGGGGGGCACCAGACCCATAGTCTTCAATATGAATGTGCCTCGAGAGATAGGTAAAGAGACTTTGGGGGCTGTTAGGCACCCAGAAAAGCACCTGCCTCTCAGTACCACGCTCTCAGCCTTGGCTGCACAGTAGTATCAACTGGGGGCTTTCAAAGGTACCAGCGCCCAAACCCCACACATGGTCAACTGAAGCCTGTTCTCTGGGGGTGAGGCCTGGGCTCAGGAGATTCTAACGTGCCCTCAGGGTTGAGAACGACTGATACAGTAAGCTCTCACCAAATAATAACAACTATTTATTATTCAGTGGTGACTTATAGCCAACATAATTACCATTTTACTGGCTGTGTACAATTCTACTCTTAGAAATTTAGATCACTACCAATTTTTTGTTATGATGTAGCTCTTCTAGCATAGGACTTTTTTGCCTTTGCTGAATATTTGCTTAAGATAAATCTCTGGAGGTGGATATCCTTGGGTATGAACCTCTTTAAAGCCACAGAGACTTTAGAGCTGCGGAGCACCCCTTCATTCTACTGGGTGTTCAGGGCTAGGAGTGCTTTTGGCCTGTGTTCCTGGCTTTTTGGCCTCTTTAAAAATGTTCCCGGGCTTCCCTGGTGGCGCAGTGGTTGGGAGTCCACCTGCCGATGCAGGGGACACGGGTTCGTGCCCCGGTCCGGGAAGATCCCACATGCTCGTGGAGCGGCTGGGCCCGTGAGCCATGGCCGCTGAGCCTGCGCGTCCAGAGCCTGTGCTCCGCAACGGGAGAGGTCACAACAGTGAGAGGCCCGCGAACGGCAAAAAAAAAAAAGTTCCCTTTAGCTGGGATAAAGGAAAACAGGCAGACAGACAGGGTCTAGATTTAGCTACTGTGAGAGGAAAAAAAGGGAAAGGCCCGCCACCTCAGGTTCTGGTGTCCCAGCCTGGAAAAGAGCTCTGTCTGTGGAGTTGGCTGTAATCCTGCACTGGCAGGCCCATCACCTGTGACATCCCAGCTGGAAAACCAGAAGGGGGCTCTGATGAGTCAGGGCCGTGAGGATTTGGTTCTTAGTAACCTGAATGGGTCTGCCCTGTGGATGCAGAGCATCTGCAAGCAAATCCCGAGGTGCAGTGGGGCGGGGTGAGGGGTGTACGAGATCGAGGGGAGGAGTTGGGAGTAGCCTCCACCTTGGAGGCAGCCAAGCTCGGTGACGTGCCTCTGGGCAGAAGATGAACAACAAATGTTTGATGCCATTCAGGGAACAAATGTCTCCTGTCTCCCTCCCGCCCCACTCCCCCAGGTCCTCTGTTGTTCTAGACATCTCAAGGTCCCAGGCAGGGGCCTGCATGAGAGCGTGATTGTAAAAAGAGACCGGAGAGATGCTTCGAGCCCTTCATGGGAAATCCTCTCACTCGAAAGCTGCTTTTCCCTTCCACTCGACAGAGGACCAGGTGTACTTGTGATCTGACAAAGGAGGGTGAATGGGCCAGGAGCATCACCTGAAAAGCTCTTTGCAGAAAGAGAAATAACGCTCCTCCAAGCCCCATGGACAGGTCGGCTGGAGAAAGGCCTGCCTCACCTGTGAGGGCTCTCGCCCTCTCGGCCCCTCACAGCTCTCTGCTGGGTGAGGGCCAGGCCTCGTTTCTCAGGAGAACTCCCAGACCAGCTTCTCTGTGTCCTCCTGTTTTATTTCTCCAGGTTCCGCATCTGGAGAATGTTCTGTGCTTCTCAGGGACTTGACTCAGAGGCTACATGACAGTCATCTTCATACCACTCTGAAGGGTAAGGTCGATCTGCACGTTTTCAGACGTATTATAGCTCCAGCTTCCTTCCTCGCTGCCTTTCTTCCAGTCATATGTTTCACTTTCTCCTCCCTTCCAGCTTTAAGAATAAGGCCTACGGGGCTTCCCTGGTGGTGCAGGTGCTCCGCAACGGGAGAGGCCACAGCAGTGAGAGGCCCGTGTACCGCAAAAAAAAAAAAAGGATAAGGCCTACTCCTCAAGAGACAAAGTTAATTGTGGCTGATCTGGAGTCTTCCTGTTCAT